GCATGCAAATGATCAGAATGCAACAACGGTATGCTAGGTAAACAGTATGACACAAAACTGACCCATCCCTTACACTCGAATGTCCTATTCAATGCGAACAAGGTGGTTCCTTAGATGTCTGCCATTACGTACTGCACCAGTAAAGACAATGTACCGACTACCTTTACACATCAGCAGAAATAGTGACCGAATTACATCAGTCCCATTGTTCATAATGCAATTTCTTTGTCTTCATTAAAGACACACGAGAAAGCAACTGAGAAATAAAACAGACGAAAGAAGGTCCCCTCATCCCATTCGCTTTCATTACCTAAAACAGCAACGAAGCATACTAGTTGGATTGTTCCTCTTAATCAGCGAATTTTGACTTAACTAGCGTGCATATAACTCGTCATCACGGACGCCTGAAATATTCGTGTTTCTCGATTTTTCTGCATTTCTGTGATCATGGGTACTGGTACTGTTCTCTGACAAATGTACAGATAATATCGATCTTTTTTGCCTTCATTTCACTTCCTTTTAGCCTCAAACGAAGTTGAGGCCACATAAATATCGAACATTTTATTAGTACGCTCACAATCTCTACCATTGAACTCATTTGTAAGCTTATACTAGAAGATATAATCGATTAAGATAACGTACTAACAAACACTGTAATTCTTACATAATATTAAGAAAAATCTGATCATAACATAAGCCAAATATTTATACTCTAGTATCAAGCTTTTCAAACGAGCAAGAGTTGTTCATGGTTAATGGTTGTTAAGCTGATATTGTATGAAACAATTTGAAAATTTTGCTCCCAAAATCAATCCAGATCTGTTAGCCTATCTTTTACTTTCAAGAAATGTCGACGACGATACTTCCACAACCCGTAGCCCAAACAGAAGCTATTTTACAATTTTAGTTTTAGCACTGTTGTGCCAGCACCTGCAAACGGAACGTTATAACGAAATCAAAGATAATATTTAACAGAAAAAGTTTCGTGCAAATATACAGGCTGACTTACCGTCCAAAACCATATGAAGTATTTGATGACAGTGAAGAATATGAAGAAGCAAAACAGCCATGAGTATCCAAGGAAAAGTAAGAAAAACTTGTAGTTGCGGTAATGAACGCACGTATTCACCCAAGGACAGTGGTGGTCCATTTTAAGAACGCACCTAGAAAAATAATGATAACAGAAATGAAAAGTTATACGTCAGAGTTGCACTGTGTAAAGAGTGGAGACGGTTGAGGTGGTGAACAGAAAACTATAGATATGGTGATAAATTAAGATTTTGAAACTACAGATAAAGATACAGTCAAACTACAGTCAAAAGTAGTTTGGCGACGACTAAACGTAGTTTGACTACGTCAACTTGATGTTTCAAAAAACCAGACAAGTGCAGAAAAACAGAACAGAGTAGAGGAAAGAAATGCAGTATAATACATTCCCATCAGCAACTAGTTACCGTGAAGCATATGGTTGACGCTGGTCCGTCAATAATCTTCATGCCTTGCAAGACAAATCCATCAAACAGATTAGCTGGAAACCTGATCATCGAGAACAACTAGAAACGAAAGCGTTGCGCGATGCATCGTGAAATCTGGTGTTGGAGACATAATGGGCCAAGTAACATACTCTTACATAATAACCCATACTTTATACTGTAACATATGAGAAGTAACAACTAATAAAACACATTTCATGATCGTAGCAAACACAATGACGTGAGATGCATTCAGTGTTGCAGTTGTTCATCCTTCATGAAGTTATAGTGTGCTTAAATCCCTTACTGAGCAATTACGAGCATGGGGTGGTGCAATACATCGCGAAATCTTCGATATGGAGGAAAGCGGGTTAATCGTCCGTAGTTGCTTCTGAGCAAAAGTTTCAGTTTCAAACTGTTTCCTGAACAAAAAAGCATAAAAGTTGTAAAAAGTATCAGGAGGTGGTGGCGACAATCGAATCAAGCCAAAAACGATCGTTGGAAACTTTCCTTTCAGCTACCTTCAACAACGGATATCCGTCTTATGGAATTTTAGAGTGCCTGTACAGGTGCTGCGCATAACGGAGTATTCAACCACCCATCCATGAATGGTTATTCACCTGGCTGCAACGGGTGCTTGCGCTTGTACAGCATAAGATATGCAAGAAAGCGTGCAACAGTGTGAACCAACCTTCGCTTAACACAATTTACCTACTGACAGCTTTGGCACTGGACCTGGCTTTTCTTGCATAAAGAAAGAACCACATGAAAAGACGAACGATAATGCTCAGGTGCAGCTGGTCGAAGCGTGTGATTATGAGATATCTACGAGCATTCTTCATGGAAAGGCGCAACCACGGCTATGCTGACGTATGCCAAGGTACTTCGTACTTCAAAAACAGTACCCGAATAAGTTATAGTCACAGGCCCAAACGACCTTCTGACCATCATCATAAAAGCTTCACGGACAGCATCGTAGAAGCTCCATGTATGAGGTATTCAATCGCCAGTATCCCTACTAAATAGTAAACATGTTTCTCCCCCAACTACAGGCAGAATCAAAGGTCTAAATAGTATCTACGATATTTACCACCTACCCTAGCCTAAGATCCGCTAGGTATTCGGTAAAATAATTCTTTTTGTAAACAGCTTTAATTTTAATTTATGAAGATACGGTTCATGCCATTGTTTTGTTGCTACTCGAGGTTCTTGTCCAATCTCCGTAACTACCGCAGGAACTAAAAACAACATAAGTCCACAATCGACAATTTCTTGAAATGCTGCATATTAAAGGCGGTCTACTTCTCAAAACAAGGACAGCCTAAATTTATGGAGAATGATGATGTAACAATTAAAAAATGGCTATGATTACAATCAATTATGGGTAAGCTCTGAACGCAGGTCTAAGCCAAGTATTGTTTCCTCAGCTGTGTGCCTCTCCCGCTGCCACATAATTTATCTTCTCGTGGAGTCGAAGAAGGCAGCAATGAAGCGCACAAAAAAAGTCAGACAGACAGTAAAGCTGAACGAAGGAATGAAATTCGTTAACTACATATAGCACTGGGATGGTCTGAGCATGTAACACTGACTGCTATCAGAAACGAATACGAAACAGTTACTATTT